AAGTGTGACAACACTATATGCGCTGAAATATCATATGAAATGATGTCATGGCCAGCAAACATCTCAAGTATGTCATACTATGGTGCTCAAGACTCAAGGCTATCAAGGCCAATTGCACTACAGCTATGCAATACATGAACCACATGGTCAAGACAACTCAAAACAATCCTAGAGCATGTCAAATCAAGGCTAAAACATGTACGGAGTATAGCCAAAACAAGCTAGCATGAAGGGCATGAAGCATGGAATATGCAAGGCCAATGAGGAGGATTAGACTACACCTACCAAAACCAAGTATGAGATGACTTCATCAACAAAAATCGGAGTTGTATCATGGTAAAACAAAACCAAAAACACACTAATATGGCAGCCCAAAAGCTTAGGCAAGATGGCATACACAATGGCTCATTTTTAAAGCATAAAAAACCAACCCTCCAAAGAATTGAATGAGTGAAAGATGTGAGGGCATGACCACACTACATGCACTGAAATCACATACCAAATGATGCCAAATCATGCAAATAGCCCAAACAATGCATGCTAGTGACTTGGAAACTCAAAGCTAGTGAGCTAGAATGCACTGGGGCTATACAAAGCAAGGCATGCATGACCAAAACAACATAAAATAGAGCTTAAGCATGGTAAACATGAACAAAAGCTTGCTGGAGTTGAGCCAAAATGCATGTTAGGTTAGTGAATGGAATTGCACTACAAGTGCAAGGAGCATGCAAGAGGCTATCAAACCAACCTTTGACAGAGTTAAGGCATGCTAAAATAACACCAAAAACTTGCTGAGATAGGACCAAAACATGCTAGAAAGATGAGCTATCAACACAAGCATGCAAGGCTAGTATGCAAAATTTACACTACAAGTGTATAAAGCATGCAAGGGGTGACTCAACCAAGCTAAAACAGAGGTATGCCATGTCAAAATGACACCAAAAACAAGTTGAGAACAAGCCAACATATGCTAGAAAACCAAGCTCAAACATGAGGCCAATAAGGCAAGCATCCAAGATACAAGGAGAGGGGATGACTCCTCCTATTTGGGACCTCAAAACACACTTTCCACCACTAAAATTCCTCTAAGTTTCAATGGTGAGAAGGCCCAAAAGAGGTGATCCCAATAGCTTAAAAGGATAGCACAAAACAAGGCCAAACAAGGCACAAGAGGGGGTAGACCACCCCCAACACCAACAAAGCCTTAAACAAACATGTTAAACACTTAAAACCAGAACTTTTTGCATTTTAAAGTTAGGCCTAAATCAACATGCAAATAGGGCCAAAAGCTTAATCAAAAACAAATGTTTAAAGGGTTAGAAACTCACCATTGTAGAACAACTTCAAGGAAGTAACTCCAGCAACCTTTTTGGATCAAAAGTAGTCCAAAAACTCCAAAACCAGCTTCAAGATGACTCAGCAACAAGAGTATGGTGTTTCACTAGGTGTTTGTGTGCAAAAATGTGAAGAATAGGCACTTTCAAGCACAAATATGAAGAGGAAGAGCAATATAGAGATAGATGATATATGTATAGCTCCAATACAAAGTTCTGAACCTAAGGCAAGAGGGATAAGGCTCCCTTATATAGAAAAAAACATGCAACAAGCTTGTTAAACAAGCTTTAGGCTCCAAGAAATCCCTCCATACACGTGTATGGAGGATGCCTTTTGTGCCCAACAGCTGGCACAACTGGCAAGAAAATATTTGCAAAAAACTGCAGGAAAGCAGCCGACCAGTTGAAGTGGTCAGCTAGTTACTTGCACTGGTCGACCAACCAGTGAAAGTGGTCTGCAAGAATGAAAAGTGGTCGGCAAGAGGGAGGGGTGGTCTGCACGAGGAAAGTAAGGTGGTGGAATGGCTGCCGACCACTTTTGGTGGTCCAAAGACCACCAAGACCAGTTGACCGACTAGAAAACTGGCTGGCAGGCAGGAAAAGTGGTTTTCAGGGAGAGAAACTGGTCTACAAACCCTATTCCACCTCCAAGCAAGGAAAACAAGGTTTGTGCTAAAAACAAACCAAAAAGGATGCAAGATAAGAGTCCGTAGGTCAAGGCACGTAGCCGAAAACCTCGAAAACTAGTCTACAGGCACCAAAAGTGGTCTATGGGAGGGAAAAGTGGTCTACGGCCACAAAAAGTGGTCTACAAGACCTTTGTGTCCCTCCAGACCAAGGTAACAAGGCATGGTCCAAAAACCAAGCCAAGAGGAGAATGTTAAGCGGTCCCGAGACAAGGCGCACGGCCGAAGGCTCTGGAAACCGGAAACTAGCCTACAAGAGAGAAAAGTGGTCTACAGACCCCTCTCTCCCTCCAGGCAAGGCCAACAAGGCTTGGTCCACAAATTGAGCCAAAACACAAAGAGTTTAGAGACCCGGAGGTAAGGCACTCAGCCGAAAACTCCGAAAACTCGAAACGAGCACAAACATGCGCGATCACCAAGTGCTCAAACGATAACGTCTGAGTCTTAAGGTCGGTAAAAAATGAGGTGTATACAATAGTTAAGTAAGGTTACAGAGAAAGGGACTTTGGGAGGGGACTAGGTCCTTACCCTTGTCATCCCTAAAAACTTCGTGGCGCAGGGGAAAGAGGTGGAGTTCATCATCTGGCGCGAACTCCCAATTGCCCGAGACAATTAGGTAGTCATTTGCTACACCTTTATTAGAATATGGGATATCGGCTATCAACTTGTATTCAGTAGATCTCAGGTTGATGTAGTAGGTGTAGCCTTTGGTGTAGCAATACTAGATATCAGAGAAGGTGATTTTGGCATTCTGCCGGCATGCCAGTTCGACAATGCCATTAATGATCCTAAAAGAGTTAACGACCAGCTACATGGGATGAAATTTATAATAATGGAGACTTCCCTAAAAAGGATATCTAGGGAAACCTAACTCCTCCTTCAATAACAGAGACAACTGGGAATGGTATGTAATCCTGACCAGGCATAATTGAGTTATCCTTCTCAGCCAACCTCAGGTAGACATTGGCCAGGATGAAGAACTCCTACCTAAAGTATTCTAATTTGGTTGGGGTGTCTACTCTCCACCTAAACATACCCATGATCTCGGCTAGAGGTGTTTTGCAAAGGACTTCGGGGAAAAAACACTGGCAGGGGTTTTAGAACCTTGGCTAGATCCTAAAAAGGCACTGGGGTGAGGATTTTGAAGATACGAAGGGAAATTTGTTTCAACTTTTCCTAGGTATATGGGTTCTACGGTAAATCTTAAAACTAGAACTATAGAAACGAAAATTGAAGGCAAGAATCTGGAAACAAAGCAAGAAAAGCAGGAAAAAAGGCACGATTCAAAATAAAGAAAGTAACAGAGACTCAGAGTGAGGAAAATCACAAAACATTGAGTGGGTGTGTGCAGAACATTGTACAGGAAACACAATTGACATTTTAGAATGCAACTTGAAGCACAACAAAAATTCAAAGAAACAAGAAATGATTCATGATGACCAAAGCATGAAGATAGGAACATAGTACAATAACCAAAACAGATGCAAAATACTAACAGACAATATAAACAGATGGCAGATTTGAAACAAATCAAAAATGAAAGACTGAAATTAAAGAGAAAGAAGTTATGAACTTACTGAATAAGGTCGAAAACAAAAACACAGGAGCAAGGTGCGCCGAAGTCAAACAATGTCTTTGATCGAAATGGAGTGGCAGAAGATTCACCGGAGACGAATAGTTGCAGAGCTTTGAAAGTTTGAAAATGGAGGTTTTTTAGAGAGAGAAAGTCTGAGTGTAGAGAAAGAACAAGAGAATACGAAGTTAGAAGACGAAGAGAGAGAAAGAGAGTTTTTTGTTAAATATTGAAAGGACGGCAAAGGAAATGAATACGCCTTGGACGACGTGTCTGTCAGGCAGCGTGCACAAAAGCGATGCGACCTGAAAGCGCATGTCAGGTACGAACCAAAGAAGAGAAGACGCGTGGATGAACAGTTGAAAAAATCGTGCGTGATAGCTCATGTGTAGATAAAACTCTTGGAGTTCTTGAAGTAATGAGGCGAGGACCTCGACTACCGGTGCAATCCTAATTGAGATGCTTAACGAACAAGGTTCTTCATTTTTAGTCCCTAATGAAAGAGGATAGTTGAGTCTTGGCTACTTGAAGCTGACGAATAATGATCTCGGTCGTGGAGAAGGAATGAATTTTAGCTGACATAGTATATGAACAAGCAATGTAGGTTCCATCACCTCAGATTGCCGAGGTAATAGAACCTAGGAGGCAGTTGTAGGGACATATTTTGTGAATAACAACACGTGGCCAAGGTGACGCCAAAGTGTCAGCCGAGGTGCCACGTGGCCTGGTCATGCACTGAGGTGATATCGGCTAGGCTAAGGTTATTTGCGAAGATACCGGAATCCAAGATGAGTGAATAAGGGACAAGAGTCTTAGAATAGGGAAGGATCTCAGTTTGGATAAAGATAAAGTTCTTAGGGAGTTTATCCCTATCTAGCTGAGAGTCCGGGATGAACATTGAGCCTGAATCCACTGAAGTGATGCTTCTACAGAGATCAGGTTAATGCTGGCTATAAAAGCAGGGCACCCCCGTGGGTCTAAGGTAGGCTTTTATTTGTGATATACTGTGAGCAATAAATTCTTTTTTGTGAGTTAAGCACAATTTGCTATCTTTGAGAGATATTTGATTATTGACTTGAGCGTCGGAGTGCCCCCGGGTGGACGAACCACTGCCGGATTCTTATCTTTCTATGACAAGTTGTTCGGGCTTAATCTATTTTATCGGTGCTCTCCAACTGAGTTTCCCATTTGGTTATGTGGTCAGGAATCAACACCCATAGAATGTACTCGGGGGCGGAAGAGAACAAAAAGATCATAAGCAAATCCCTTGGAACCATCTTTGTCATTAAAGATTGAATGTAATGCAAGGGTAAGAGCTTTCTACAAAAGGATGGAAGATATAAGTTAACCACAGTTGTGCTTGAGCATACTCATGACTTGATTCCTAATGACTCACGGCATTTTGCAATGAATAAGAGGATTCGTACTTCTGTGAAGAGAAGGCTAGAAATAAATGATGCAACAGGGATAGAGGTGGCTAGGAATTTTCATTTTATAGTTGTTGAAGCTGGGGGATATGAGGCATTAACATTTGATGAACGAGATGCAAGGAATCATATTGAGAATGCTAGGAAATTAAGACTTGGGGTAGGAGATGCTGATTCTCTTACACTTTATTTTCATAACATGTAACAACAAAATTCAAACTTCTATTCTGCAATTGACTTAGATAAGATGGTCGCATGCGAAACTTGTTTTGGGCGGATGCAAGGCGTAGGGTGGCTTACAAAGCATTTGAGGATAATGTCTTATTTGACACAACCTATCTGACAAACAAATATGATATGTCGTTTGCTCCGTTTGTAGGAGTTAATCACCATGGACAATCAAATTTGTATGGTTGTGGGCTGTTATGTAATGAGAACACAGAGACATTTGTTTAGCTATTTAGAGAATAGTTCAGCTGCATGTCAGATGCTCACCCAAAAGCCATAATAATTGACCGGTGCAGAGTGATGCAAAATTCCATAGAAATTGTATTCCCACAGCCTCAACATCGATGGTGCTTATGGCATGTAATGAAGAAAATTCCAGAGAAATTGAGAGGATATTCCCAATATGAATCTATCAAGTTCACTTTGCAAAATGCAGTTTATGATAGTTTCACAAAAACTGAATTTGATGAAGAATGGCAAACAATGCTTGCAAAGTTCAGTCTTTATGATAATGAATGGTTGGGGGTATTATACGATTAGCGACATAGGTGGATTCCTGCCTATGTAAAAGACATTTTTTGGGCTGGCATGTCAACTACACAACGAAGCGAGAGCATGAATACATTTTTTGATGGATATGTGAACTCGAAGACTACTTTAAAGCAATTTGTTAAGTAGTATAACAATGTCTTGAGAAGTACGGTGGAGAAGAAGACCAAAGCAGACTTCAAATCTCGTAACAAATTGTATGATTGCTTAACGGTGTATTGTTTTGAGAAGCAATTTCGTGAAGCCTACACAAATGCAAAATTTAAAGAGGTTTAAGCATAATTGAAGCGTCTACTATACTGTCATGCAACTCTTGTGAAAGAGGAGGGATCAATTTGTACCTATCATATGAAGGAGGTTGTTCTAGTCGGTGAGAAGATGAAGAAGGTGGAATTTGTTGTCTACTGCAATTCAACTGAATGTGAGATTCAATGTTTGTGTCAGTGGTTTGAGTTTAGGGGCATTATATGTGCCCATCCATTTAGTGTGCTCATTGAGAGGTGCATCTATGAAGTTCCAAATAAATACATTGTGGAGAGATGGAGAAAAGATTTAGAATGAGGGTACAAATGTATTCCAACCACATATACTAACTCCGGGGATGCTGTCAATGCAAAGTTACATGATCCGTATCACAAGATGTTGGATGAAATTCTAGAACTTGCTACCAATGATGATGGTAAACACAAAGTGATTCAACTTGGATTGAAGGAAATCAAGGATAGAATGAGAAAAGAAACATCGGGTTGTGCGAGTTATGTGCCACATAATAGTAGTGGACCACCTTCTAATACTTCCCCAAAAAGTCCTCATGGTCACAGTACTGCAAATGCAAGCATGACTCGCAAGGTTGTTAGTCCTTTGGTTGCTCGCCGAAGAGGCTGTCCATGTACCAAACGGAAGGTTAGCAAAGTCGATGAAATCGTGAATCAGTTGAGAAGGGAAAGAATAAGAAAGCTACGAATGCACAGGTAAAGTTTGATATGTAAATTTCATTTAATATGTAAATTTCTAATTTTTTTTAACCTAAATTATTAACCAATGTCTGTTACTATAGGGTTATAAGGTGGGCCAATGTGAACCTCGTAACTCAAACTTTGATTTTACGGAAGGCATGCAAGACACTATGTACCATCCGGTATGTATTCTTATAATTATATTGATTTTGTTTGTTTTTATTTTAATTTGTCAAATTGTTAATCGCATGTTGGCACTATTTCGTCGTAAGGTGCCACAATCTCAATCTTACTACTTTCCTTCCATGGATGGCACGCAAGAGAGTATATATGTACCAGTATGTGTTGAAGTTATGAGTACAAATCTTTTTTACATCCATTAAATTTCATATTAGTCAATATGTTTCTGGACAATATTTGTAATACGTAATTTGTTTTTATAGGTAGGGGTTACCCCAATGCAAATGGTGGACAATATTGGAAGCACATCTCATAGTCAAGCATGAATGAATATAAGCAGTCAAACTTTAACACTAGCTTCAAAATTTATTGACTTCAATATAAATGCGGATCCAAATGCCCCATTTCATTTTTAGTGCTGATTCAATGACTTGATGACAATTATTTGTAACCAAATGACAGTTTGGATAGTTTGGTTTCATTTACGTTGGCTAAAATTTGTAGATTTTGTCTTGCTTCATTTGTAAATGAAGCAAGTTTTGGTTAATTATGAGCGAAAGTTGAATTGGTGGGATGTGTATGAAACTGTATGAAACTGGGAGCCTCCACTTGACATACCTTTGAAATTGTGTTGGTTTGTCTTCTATGGAAAATTTTGAGAAATAAGAGTTTTTCTATTGGTGTTATCATGAATGAGCTTTTGTTGCATGCTGAGCTCTATATTACTGTGTCATCTTGTTTCACCTATAATTTTGCTTTATTTTGTTCTCTTTTATTTTAATTACTACGTTTTCTTTTAATTCCATGTTTTGTTATATTCTGTTCAATCCAAATACAGCAGTTTCTTCATGGACAGAGCAGGTTTTTCATGGACACAACAGTTTTTGCTGAAACAGAGTTCTAATTAATTTGTGGGTGAAAACAGAACAAGTTTTTGTTGTAGGTGAAAACAGAACAGGTTTTGTAACAACATATTGATCACAAATAGAGCAGGTTTTGGTTTATGGACAGAGCAGGTAAAAGCATGAACAGATCAGGTTTTGGTTCATGGACAGATCAGATAAAAGCATGGACAGATCAGGTTTTGGTTCATGAACAAAGCAGATCAAGTTTAGAACATGTATTTTGGCCTTATTAATTTGTTGCTTACAAAAAAAAGAACATGTAAAACAACAAGTAGATAAGGTTTAGAACATGTATTTTGGCCTTATTAATTTGTTGCTCACATTCAAGAACATGTTTGAATCAAAACAGAAAAAAAAGAACACGTAAATCAACAAGCAGATAAGGTTTAGAACATGTATTTTGGCCTTATTAGTTTATTGCTCACATTCAAGAACATGTAAATCAACAACAATTGAAAACAGAACAGGTTTTTCATTCCCACATTCAAATCATCACAACACATACCCACAACCCATCAAGTTCATTCAATTCATAAGTATATCCATCAAATTCCAAAAAAGCTAACAACTGAATAATTTACATTATAAAATAGAAAACAATACAAGATACAATAACATAAAGCATCGCCTTGAAATTCTTCTCCACTCTTCGAAGCCTTCTACCATACTCATCAATTTCATTATCCATTTCTGAAACCCTTGTTCTTAGATCGTTAAATTCTTCGTTTCTTATAGCTTTACGAGGTGCAACATTGGAACGGATTGTGGAGATCACGTCGTCATCATCATTATCTGCGAACTTGAAGTAATTGCAGTGTTCCTTATTACTCTACAATGCATGACAATCAGTTAATCAAATCATGCTAATCAATTTCCAAACAAAATTACAAACAAATTTCCTTACATATTTTAATGGGCAAACAAAGAATAAACACCCTTGATTTCCATTCTCATTGGTTCGGACAATGCACATGGCAGCTATTTTTCCATAATTGCACATTCTTGGTTTTAATCTTATGTTGCTATTGTTAGTAAAAGAACAAGCCATTTTTTAATCTGCATACAACATACAAAACAGACATGATACATAGAGCAAGCAGTGGCAAATTTCATTTAGAGTCACTTATCATGTTATGGAAAATGATCTGTTTTTGCATAATAATTCCCATCCAGTACTCATTTTCTTGCTCAGAACTTGGTGTCAGTACTTTAATTAGGGAACGTGGAAACCTTTCAAGGAGAAAATTCCACACACATTCAGGTTTAATGTTTTTCAGTGCATAATAGCTAAAAAGGGTATGAACATATGTAGTTTTCTTGCTATGGTAGGATTGCATAGTGATCATATGTAGGAGACCTGATATGATACGTGTAAGTAGTAATCCTTATTTTGGGAAAACAGATATCCAACATAGACAAATTTCATACCCTTCTTAGACAGATATGTAAGAATAATCCATATTCCATAGACAGATTTCATACCCTTCTTACACAGATATCCAAGAGTAATCCATATTCCATAGACAACTATCCAAAAGTAATCCTTATTTTGGGTAAATAACAGATTTCATCAACAGATAATAAACTTTCAAATGCACAGTTTTAAGCATTGTGTTGTCCATGCTTTTCTAATTAAACCTTGTGAAGCAAATTATGCCACGACCCAACCCCAGGGGCTTAGGATTGGAATCGCAACTTACTAATTAATTATACTCTTAATAAATTAGATGGCGCAGGCGCAGGCGGCAGGCAAAATGGAAGTAAGAAAATAGTTAAACATAAAATTTACTTTATCCGACTATTTTGATAAAAGAAGGTACATCTATAGGGCTTTTATTTATTATTTTTATTCAGTGACCGGTCCTCAATAAAAATAAAAAAATAAAAAGAAGAAAAGGAAAAAAAACAAAATAACAGATCAACATCAATTCTTGTTCGAGTTCTACTACATGAGGTTACGAGTCTTCTTTACATCTCGTCACCTGAAAGGGTAACAGCTATAAGCACACAGTAGAGTGAGAAATATTATGCTAAAAGTATAGGGAACATGAAATAACCATAGATAGTTAGTTAAACTAAAACATTTACATAACTTAATTTGAATAAACAAATTATTCAAAGTGGCAGAAATTGAAATGCGAAAATTATGTAAATAAATAATCATAACCATGGTACAGAATAGAACACGACAGAGGTCACATGAGTGACAATCAGAATAGAGGTCAATGGATCTATGACAAACAAAAGACCACAAAGTGGCCAAACAGAGGCCAATGATTATTTAAGTTCCCCAAGGCATGAGACTCTCGTGTAGTACTTACAAAACATATTTGTTTATAAAACCATTGTCAAATAATTTCTAAAAATTAAACAAACATATCCATGGGTTTCAATTTAAGCAAATAGAGTTCAGAAAATAATTAACGTAATCAAAATATTAATATAATTTATAAAACATAGATTGCGTAAAATAATTTATGATAACCCAAAACATACGTAAAATATATTATGATGACTCCAGGTATAATATAACTCACCTTAATATTAACTCTTACTATTTTCTTCTTATTTTTGTTACCTTCTCACGACTGTTCCTTCGCTACACTTTTTTTTCGTTTATTTCCTCACTAATTTCACAGCCTCCTCCCCTCTTATATACGCATTCTTGGGTGCTGACTCACCCCATCATGATGACCCCAAAGTTGATGACTCACATTCCCTAATGGCTTAGATGGCACAGATGGCCTACCATTCTTATCTCCAGGTAATTTCCAAATCTCTCCAATTAATTGTTACTTATCTCTCTTAGTAAATCTATACATTAGATTTGTCTTTATTTGTTTATATAATCACTAATTCTAATGTGGCCCAACTAATAGTATTGTTCCATAATTGTGTTAATTTAGCCCCAAATAATTAATTACATATTTGATAACACAATGCCAAATTAGATTTATTATTCTTTATTATTATTATTATTATTATTATTATTATTGGAGTTTACCATACTGAGGTTTATCTTCAATCATCATCTGCTTCATTCTACATTGCTTCTAATGTAAATTAAATTACATGTTATCGCCTATCATCATAAATTAATTATTTAATTTTACTATTACAGATTATTGTTATTATTCTTATTAATGATCGTGGTTAGTTGTGGTATCAATTATATATTTAGGATGTCACATTTCTCTCCTCCTAAATAGAAGTTTGTCCCCAAACTTGACGTACCTTAACTTTTGAAGAGGTGTGGGTATTTGACTCGCATTTGATTTTATGTTTCCTACGTAACTTCTTTGATATGATGATTTCTCCACAAGACTTTTACAAGGGGTATCGTCTTGTTTTTGAGAACCTGATCACGACGATCAAGAATCTGCATTGGTTGTTCTTCGTAAGAGAGATCTTCTTGTACTTCTAGGTTCTCATAATTGACAAGATGTTCTGGATCTCGGAGATACCGCCGAAGCATTGAAATATGAAATACATTGTGGACATTGGACAGTTCAGGTGATAG